CTTCCAAGAACCTTCCCACTCAGGCCTCTCTTATCATCCGGGTTTCTCATGTAGATTCTCCATGTAACATTTTCTTTTTTGTTCTTCTCCTTCCAACAGCTTTACATGGTACACTATGCACTAGTGGTTTGCAGAGCTGCATAGCCAGTGCCATAGTCAGGGTGGTTGTTGTTGTTGTTGTTGTTATGTGCCGTTGAGTCGCTTGAGACTCATAGCAACCCTATGTACAAGAGCCCTAAACCCTGCTCTATCCTGTGCCAACCTCATTTGTCTCTGACACACTCATTCCCACCACTCCAATCACAGAATCGATCCATCTCATCGAGAGTCTTCCTCTCCTGCACCGTCCACTCCACTTTCCCAAACATGACTTCCCTATACAAGGACCAGTCCCTCCTTGCAACATGCCCAAAGTATGTCAGACAAAGCTTCCGAATCCTTGACTCCAAGGAGCATTCTGGCTTCACCCTCTCCAGGACAAAACTGTTTGTTCTCCTAGCAGTCCATGGTATATTCGACACTCTTCTCCAGCACCACAGCTAAAAGGCATCAATTCACTTTCTGTCATCCCTAGTCACTGTCCAGCTCTCTGATGCATAACACATAATTGGGAAGACTATAGCCCAGATCAGGTGCACCTTACTCTCCAGCCTGACATCGTTGCTCTTCAGTACTCTTGAGAGGTCCCTGACAGCTGACTTTCCCAGAGCTTTCTATTTTCTACCACCCCCGAAGGATTCCCCCCACCTGCTCACAGAAGCTCCCCTCACTTCGTCCCCACATCTACCCCTTGACTGATGAGCCTTCTGTCTGGATTTGCATGTTCTGAGCATCCTCTCAGTGGGATCCTACACCTGGGCCCTTTTATCCCTGGATTTTCTTGTTGGCACGATTGTTTTCAGTTTGTCCACATCACGGTGTGTGTCAGTCCTGCATTCCTTGTTGTGGCTGGGTCATGTTCTCTGCGGGGATAGATCACAGTAGCGTGTCCATTGATCAGCTGATGGATAGATAGTTGGGCGTTATGAACACCTACGAGTAGAATTGCTGGGTTGGATGATGGCTCTGTTTGGCCAGCTGAGGAAGGCAGTGCTTTGTTTTGGCATAATTTCAAATTTAAGAAGAAAGCCTTGGCACAAGGACCACCATGCATCGTTTACTCAGGTTTGACATCTGTTCATGGCTTCCCTCTTACCGGGGAGCCTCTGTCTGTGTGCATGCATGAATGTGTTTGCTTTCTCTAAGTGGGTGTTCACAGTGTCCAAACCTTTGTGTATAACGGTGCCCAGGGGTGCTGCTGGGGAGTTGCTTCTGACTCTGGCGACCCTGCAGGACAGAGTAGAACTGCCCCCCGGGCTTCCCAGGCCACAGCTCGGGACAGAAGCAGACAGCCCCAGCTTTCTCCTGTAGAGAGGCTGGCAGGTTTGAACTGCTCACCTTTTGGTTAACAGCCGAATTCTTTACCCACTACCCCACCAGGGTTTCTTATATTTTTCTGTAACTCCATATCAAACCCACTGCTGTCCAGTCGATTCTGCCTCGTGATAACCTTCCGTTTGGGTTCTGAGCCTGTAAATCTTGTGGGAGGAGGCTGCCCATCTTTCTCCCACAGAATGCAGGGGGTTTTGAACAACTGGTACTTCAGTTAACAGTGCAGCTCATAACCAACTATTCCACCAGACTCCGTGCCTATTTTTATATGTTGTTATTGTGTGCCATCGAGTCGGAACTGATCCATAGCTGACCCTCGAGTGGGTTTTCAGATACAGTCAATTGCACAGGAAGAGATTGCCCATCCTTCGAAGGTGAATTGAGACCACAATCTTTTTATATACTGTGTAATTTAGCCACTTGAGAAGAAATTGGAGATATTGGGCTTCCTCACCCTGAAATATTCCTGTGTGTGTTTCCTGGAATCAAGACATTGTCTTATGTAACCACCGCTCAGTTTTCAGAATCTGAAACTGTCACATTGATTGATCCAACATTGTAATCTAATCAACAAGACACCTCCAAACCCAGGCTCATGGGCTGTACTTAATTACACATTTCTTTGCTTTTCTCTGCTCTAGAAATGTTTTCAGTCTGTTGTTGACTTTTGTGACCCAGACCTCATAGACTGCAGTTGCGTCCTCTGGGTTTGGGTGGACAGTCCCTGAGTTTCTGGCAGGAATATCACAGACAGGTTGCGTTCTCACTACATCCCTCAGGAGACACCCGATGCCTGTTAGTCCTGTTTCTGGAGTTGTTCATGTTGATCTCTTCACCATGTGCCGTGTCTTCCCACCGTGAAGGGACAGTGTCAGCGGTGTGCTCATTCTGTGAATACGCTTGTTTGAACTGCTGCTGCCTCTCCCTGGCGCCCTGCCTCTGTCCTCCACCTCCGGTGCGCCAAGTAGCTTTTTCTAAAGCTCAGACCTGACCATGCCCCCTGCTCTGAAGTCATCAGTGGCTCTCTACCCCCAACCACCTCAAGTCTGCCTCCTAAGCCTCCATTCTCTTCATCTTCTCTCCCACTTTCCTTGCACTTTCTGGAATCTTCTTTCTTTGCTTGCACCATTCTTTCTGCCTCATGGTGTGTTCTCTAAGGAATTCAGCCCTGTTTTCTACCCAGCTCAGATGTCTCCTCTTTGACCCTTGAGATGGAATCTGTCTCCATTCTCACTCTGCTACATCTCCTGCAGCATCTGTCCTTCACGCCTGCCTCCCCCATCAGGCCACAGGTCCCTGAAGGCAGGTGGGTCTTGTCCTTGGACTCTTACAGCCAACACACACGAGGCACCCCAAAACCTCTCCAGGATTCTCCATAGAGTAAATGAATAAGATCGAGAAACTACCAGAAGTGAGGCTGAGAAGGAAAGACTGAAGACCCACTGTGTCACGTAGAGCCAGGATTACAAAGGCTTTGGAAGCTGCAGGAGCCCCTGCCTTGGGCAGCTTTGAGGTCAGCAGAGGGGTGGCCCCCAACCAGGACATCACCTCCAGTAGCTGGGTCATGAATACCAATGGCACTTCCTGGACAAGCCCTTTCCTGTCCTCAGGACCCTGTATCTGATTGGTGGTGTTGAGATTCTTTTGTTCTTAAGTGTATTTTGCTTTTTCATGTTTATTTTATGGCTTAGAGGACTATTTATTCCTAAAGGCAAAATTTGCTAAATGGCACATAAAAAGCCCTGGAAGGCATTTGTGGGTGTCTGTGGAGGTGTTATTGAGCCCATGTGCACCCCAAGCCATTAATGAGAGCCCACTGGCGTGTGTCGGCTCTGCCGTTGTTCATGCGACGTCACTGCGGATTGTAATAAACCCGGGTGATAAAACCCTGAGAATAAATTGCCGTTCCTACTTTGCAGGATATTGCTTTTGTCTAAAGACTGTGGTCCTCATTCTTTTCACAAAAGACTAGTGAGCTGGGGTTTTATTATGCAGCTGACACCCCAGCCCAACAAAACTGTGAGAAATCCCATCTAGAAACATTAAAGAAATGGTCCTGTCTAGAGCCACAGGGGGTTCAGGGGGGCTTTTGTACAATAACCGGTCACCCCCCCCCCCCCCCGGGAGAGCCAACTTGAATGATTTAAACAACGACCACATTTAATCCTGCTAAGACACATGTAACTGCAGACTTTGGGAGTGTTGTGAAGAGGACCTTGCCCAGGGCTCTGGAGTTCAGGAGACATGTCCGTGGCTCCAGAGTGGACAGGAGTTAGGATGGTTAACAGGGACATGACAAGAGGAAGGGCAGTCCAGGTAGAGGGCCAGGTGTGTGGACGGCTGAGGCAGGAGGGGCTCAGAGGTGGTGTTACAGGTGGGAGTTGGTGAGAGATGAACTCCGCTGGTAGGTAGGTGAGAGGAGGGAAGTGGGGCTCTTCAAAGAGTTTTAGAGTGTAGAGGGGTCACCTGATCAGAGAGATACCTTCATAGGATCACAGGATGAGATGTGTCACCAGTGTGGACAGGGACTGCCGGTGACCAGAGGCTGTGATCCAGGGTCTAGGTTAGAGTTTGGGTTGGCTAATGGGTAGTAAAGTACTGGCTTACTGTCTATTTTTTATATTTATTATTCATTCATTGTTGCATATGTCCTTATTTTTTAAAATGTACCCTTCCTCTTTTTCTTCTACTTTTAAAAATCTTTTCAGGTAAAAAAACCCCTTTGTACTGAGGACTAATTTACAATTCACAGAGGAATTATGAGAATAAGGGAAGACAAAGAACACTTTACCTAGAGGAGTAACATTAAAATGACTTTCCGTTATAAGCAGCAGTAAAAGATCAGACATTCCAGAAGAGCATAGATCCAAAGTAACCTTTTCTGCCCCCCTCCTCCCATGGGGCCCCGTTTTTGAGAGTTTGGAGTGCATCTTCTCACACTTCTTCTAAATAAACGCTATGCCTATGCGACATCAAGGGGAGCTCTGGTGACTTAGAGATAAGGAGCTGTCTGCCAGCCAGAAGGCACACGGTTTGAATCCACCAGCTGCTCTGCAGAAATGGATGGGTGATCTCCTCTTGTGTAATTAACTATCTTGAAAACCTACTGCAGGGTCAGCTATGGGTTGTTCTGACTCTAACAACAGGCGATGTCCAGTGTAGCTGCTGGGGCATCAGGGGACACTGTGTGTGGAGCTCTCGGCTGTGTAGGTGGTGTCTGAGGACTCGCCCCTGGGAAAGTCAGGCACTGTGATGCCCAAGGCAAGGCGGTAAAGTAGGAGACGCAGCTGGGGAGGAGAGCAGAGGAGCAGAGGCGCTGGGGCCCCCTCCCTGTCCTAGGAGATCCGGAGGCTTCTCTTCCTTCCCACTGTTGTCCAGAGCGTGTATACTGCTGTGACCCTGGAGGTCAGAGCTGAGGGGCTGGGATCACAGTATCCTGTGTAACTGTGAAGACAAAGGCAAAAGCGGGGCTTCTGCCCTGAGTGGAGCGTCCTTTAGTGAACAGGACGTCCACTTGCACTCTGTATGGGGTACAGCGCCTTCTCTTCAGAGCAGAGGGCCTGGGGGTGGGCCGGGGCCTCTGATGCCTCTCTTGTCTCTCAGCTCTTTGGTTAGCTTGATGGAGACGTTCAACGAGAAGGCAGAGCAGCTGATGGAGATTCTGGAGGCCAAAGCAGATGGACAGACACCAGTGTCCATGCAGGACATGCTGACCTGCACCACCATGGACATCCTGGCCAAGGTGACCGCAGATGGCTGGGCGCGGGCTGGGGGCCTTCTGTCCTCCTTTCTGTGCTTCTCACCCCTTCCTTCCTCCATGCTCCCTACCCCTCAGTGCTCCCCACCCCTTTGTGCTCCCCACTCCTTCGTGCTCCTCACCCCTTCCTCCGTGCTCCCCACCCCTTGGTGCTCCCACCCCTTTATGTTCCTCACCCCTCTGTGCTCCTCACCCCTTCCTCAGTACTCCCCACCCCTTCGTGCTCCTCAGTCCTTCTTCCATGCAGCGGCCCTCATGTATCCTATCTCCACTAGCGTGCAGGGTGGCCTCACGTGCAAGCAGGCTAGGAACGAGCTGGGTTCTGCACTGGACGCCAAGTCTCAGGCTGATAGCAGTCCATCTCAGGACTGGCCTCATTCTCACCTCAAAAACCTACCTCCCCTAAATTGCCCCGGCGTGGCTGTCCATCAGAAGCTGCCCACATAGCCCCATATGAAGGCAGATCAGGCAGCCAAAGTGTGGGGACAGCGAGTGTCATTTTCATCCTTGTTATTCGAATGCCTGGGTGCAGATAGTTGGATTTAGATGGAGTGGCCCCGGGGAAGCCTGTGTTCCAGGAGAGACGTGTCTGTCAGGCTCCAGCTCACTTCTGTCTCCTTGGTTCTGACTCAGTGTCCCAACAGGACCCAGGGGAGCTGTCTGTTAGGGGCTCTGAGACTTTAAGTCTTCATGAGAGCAGACTGCCTCGCCATCTCCTGAGATATGGCTGGTGGATTTGAACCGCAGATCTTTTGCTTAGCAGCCCAATGCTTCCCCCACAGAGCCAGAAGTTACCATGTGTTTTTAGTTTTCACAACATCTCACAGCACTGGAATCATCAGGCCATGGTTGTAGTTGGTAGGATGATGTCTGTAGTCCCTTAGCCCTGGACCTGGGTCTCCAGCTGCCCAGGCTGCATTTTGCAGTGGACCTGCTGGCCTCCCACCCCCAGGCACGAGCTGGCTCATCTCTCTCCCCCCAGGCAGCTTTCGGCATGGAGACGAGCATGCTGCTGGATGCCCAGAAGCCCCTGCCCCGAGCAGTCAGAGTGATGCTGGAGGGTATCACTGCGTCCCGCAACACCCTGGCCAAGGTACTGTCCTGCCCCTCAGCCCTGCCCTGCAGCCCTGCCCAGTAGCCAGCCCTGCCCCGTGGCCTGCCCAGCCACCCTGCCCCATGGCCCTGCCCCATGGCTCTGCCCTGCAGTCCTGGCCTGCAGCCCTACCCAGTAGCCAGCCCTGCCCCGCGGCCCTGCCCAGTGGCCAGCCCTGCCCCGCAGCCCTGCCCAGCCACCCTGCCACACGGCCCTGCCCCGCGGCCCTGCCCAGCCACCCTGCCCCATGGCCCTGCCCCGTGGCCTGCCCAGCCACCCTGCCCCATGGCCCTGCCCCGTGGCCTGCCCAGCCACCCTGCCCCATGGCCCTGCCCCATGGCTCTGCCCAGCCACCCTGCCCCATGGCCCTGCCCCGTGGCCTGCCCAGCCACCCTGCCCCATGGCCCTGCCCCATGGCTCTGCCCTGCAGTCCTGGCCTGCAGCCCTACCCAGCCACCCTGCCCCACGGCCGTG